CCTCCATTTGTGGCAGCCTAGTAATTCTATGGGAAAGACTGGATTTGACATACACTGCTATAACTCCTTCTGTGCTGCCTAGTATGGCTGTCTGTCGGTCACGTCTGAATACTACATAGTTACGGATATTTACACTGTGGTCGGGGAGGGATAGAATAAAACCAAGTCTCAGTGAGAAAAAGAATAATCAGTTTGTTCTTGTGGTAGTTTGGGGGCTGTTTCCAAACAGTTGCCAGGAAAACCTTGAAACCATCGGTATCACCAGCTACTGCTCGGTGTCTGAAGTGCAGAAGAATGCTCTCTATGGCTCGGTAGCTATTCTGTGTATAGGTGCTTGATTTGCAACGCTCTGTTGTGGGTGGTGGAGGTCTTGCGGTCCCATTTTCCTCCAAACCCTCTCTTGTTTCCTATGATCCATATTTGAGAAAGTGTTGTGTGTTTCTCTCTGTTGTTTACATACCGTCGTATTTAATGTCCACAATTATGATGCATGGCCCCACGTTTGGCTGCTGGATGCTTGTCCGGTGGGTGCCAATCTCCGGCGCTTCGGCTGAGTGCTGATGAATAAAAAAACAGATCGCGTAATGAAGCAGCCTAACGATAGATGTGCAAAGTCATGATGCCTGGTCTGCTTCTGTCCTGGGTTCACTACTCCGTGCATTGCAGCCGTGAGTAAAACCAGCTCAGGCTGAGAGTTCCCTCAATGATTGCTTTTCCAAAGCGCGTATTCTGAACTCACTCAGATCGGTCATGGTCTTCATTTCTTCATTCTTTTTTCTTTCTTTTCAGTTTTGTGTTAATCACAGTGAGGAATCCTGCCACAACGCCTGCACAAATACATACGAATAACAGAGCCCTAAAAATATATACTAAACAGCATAAGCTGGCCCTGAAAACCCCAGCGTGGCGGGGCTCTTGTTGATCAATCTTCAGGGGCATGTCTCTGGCAGCAGCGCTTGCCTTGACTGCCGTGGCCAGGTTTGATTTTAGGCGTCCACGCACACCAGTGACATCTCGACGGAAGTAGTTGTCCATTGCCTGATGTGGCGGGGCGTCTGAGGGCGTCCTCAGAACATGACCTAGCATCCGGAAACGGCGGACAGCTACGATGTGCTAGCGCGGCTGTGCGTGCGCTCTGGAACTATATTCTTTGTTGGAGATGATGGCGGGATACCTAATTCCGAAAAAGGTCCGTAGTTGACGTCTATGGAAGACGTTCAGCTTCTCCAGTGCAGCCTCCGTCAGTCCCCAGGTTTCGCAGTTGTGGAACAGCGTTGGTAGGACGATGGCATTGCATAGACAAAGCCTTGTTTACTCGGATACAAGTTGACGTCGTATCCAGAGCGAATACATGCGGCCATACGATGTTGATGCTTGGTCTAGTCGTGGGCTCAAATCTTCCTCTTCCCCCAAGAGGGAGCCAAGTTGCTTGGATCTTCGCCATTCAGAGGTGGAGGCAGAGATGTGAACCCACTCTGTTTTGCTGAACCTCAATAGACTGTAAGTTTTACTGATACTTCTGTCAAACGGGTCCTTTTCACTCAGCTCCTGAAATCCTCAGAAGTCGACGCGATACGTTTGCAAATCACAAGCGAGTTGTCTCTGTTTTGAGTTAAAATACTCTGCTCGAAAATTGAACGTCGCTTTAAAGCAAGAGAGTGGGTGGGAGAAAGTTTGCTGAGCAGTCAGCCCAACACCAGGAAAAATATGGTCTTAAGTGTACGTGCGAGTATGTTGTTATGTGTGACATTTATAGTATGTGGTGTTTTCAAGACTACGCCGTGTCAGGGTGCGAAAATTAGTTTCCGTCTCTGTGAGAGTGACTGTCAAGTGAATGCTGAACATGCGCAGTGTTAGTTTGGTCTGGGAATGAGAGTCGCGTGTGATTGGTCATGTGTTATGTACGTATTGGTCCCTGATTTGTCGTCACAATTTCTATACAAGCAAACACTCCCGGTTTTCCTGGAAATATCCCGGAAAATCAACGACTACTCTATAAAGTTACTTTTCTGGTTTTTGGGTTTGCATTTGTCACGTCCCTGAACGTGACGATTGCTGCCTGATAGTCATGTGAGAGCAGGATCTACATAGTGAGCATCTCTGTGCTGAGCTGTCATGCCCTTTTGATAGAATGTGGTTTGGCCAGTGTCTTGTCCCACGTGCTTAGCATGTAGGTTGAGCGACATGCCCTTTCCCACATAGGTGACATGCCTTCTTGGCATGGCACATCATGTGACCCAAAGCCGGAACGAGGTCAGGTGGGTTCTCGCGTTGTACGTTTCTTGGAAGTGCTTCGCTTCCTGGAAATGTGACTCCAGGCTTTGTGCACAACCACGTCACAACGACGTTCTACAGGGTTCCACGATGCCTCCTTGCTTCGTGAAAGGAGGCAAGAATAACATGACATTGTATAACAAGAGCTAAGTGCAAGAAAGGATACGTGTGCATAAACCAAACCTTCACCGCGCAACAGGTCAGAGTATCATGCAAGCAAGACCAAGAATGCAGCAGAACTTACCATAAGAAGCCACTGAACTATGGCACGTTGGATGAGCGGGTTCCCCACGTCCCAATTTGGTCTTTATTCTCCATGTCTTTCTATCTCTTTCTTCTTGAATGATTACGTACGTGCATTCTGCTTTTCTGCTGACTGGCTGCTCATATTCCAGTTTAACCGGTTCTTGTAGTTCCTGGAAATACCTCGTATCATTCTAGGCAATGATCACGCCACATCTCAAAATTGCGCTATAAAAGAAGCTCTCGCTCACCTTTTTACTGCAGTCGAGACTCGGTCTCAGTTCTCTGTCTTGGTTTACTTTGAGCTCGGATTTGAATGACTACTCACAACGTAAAACTAACAGTCTTTGTCTCTTGATCGTGTGGGGTTGAACTTAGACCAAGCTAGCTATATTGGTTGGCCCCTGGGTTGTGTTGGGCTTCAGGGCCTGCTCTAGACATTCAACACAGCCCGGTCAGAGTGTACCTGGCGCATGCAGGCCAGCCGGATCAAGCCGGGTCAGATCATCCGGCAGAAACAACCAAAAAGGCTGCTCAAAACGCAGGAAAACAGAAAGGCGAATTTATTACCCGGAAATCGGAAATTTTAGAGAACATCGCGACGTAATCCACCGCCGCTCGTCTTCCTTTAGAAATGCGTCTTGCACAAAGCGCATGACATGGATAGACTGGCATGGTCGTAATCCAGCCAGGGTCGACCTTTCTTCCAAGAGTCTTGGAAAGCGTGAGTTCTTTTTCTCTTCGCTGTGGGCTCCATCGTCCAAATCACCAGTCGGCTGAAAGCTTGCAACTGTGTCAAAGGCTATAGCCAAAGTTACGCTTTTGACTGCCTGCCCCATCGACTTTGAATGTCCTTACTTCCTGCTCGCCCCTGGCTAGATCGCGCTCGAACCAGTTGACCCCAGTTGACCCTAGCCGAGTTTCTGTCGCTTGTAGACTGTAGTGTGTACGGTTGCGCTAGATTTGCAACAGATGGGGTCCGCAAGTCGTAAAATACCGGTATTTTAGGAATCCATTGTCAGTTTGAGACATTTTTCAGCCGGGTCAGACTGGACCGGGTCAGACTGGACCCGGTGTTATCTGTTCAGCCAGGTCGTGCAGTTCCCCAGCCGGGCGCGTGACCCGGCTGACCCGGCTCTCCAGCAGGCCCTGCGGGTTGTCGTGAGGCCACACGCCTATTCAGTTGCCGCTCGTAGTGATTCCTGGGTCCGGTCACTGAGAGCCAGGGATGCGACACATTAAATTTGTATTGCATTTTCATCCATTGTGTTTCTTTCGACCATAAAAGAGGCTTCATTCACTACTCTCGGGGTCCTGGGGATTTCAAACAAAAACTCCCGATAAAGTGACGTGTTTTTGTTTGATACAGAATGTTCCTGAAAACTCCATGCATTACCAACAAATGTCCCTTTTTTCTTCAAAACATTACGCTGCGCACTTGCACTCCCGACTATGCACCGCACTTTCAAGACCTGACCAGCGTAGCCTGCAAGATCTGCCCTGACTTTTGTTTTCCATTCTCCTCCTGCGCTCTCATCATTTGTTGTTATAAGAAGACGGTGTCCAGATGTCCAGAGCAGTAACTGGGTGCCGTCAAGAGGTGAAACCCTAATAGTTGGATGTAAAGGGTTACATGCATTGGATACCTTGACAGCCACGCACAGTAAATGGAGCAGCAAAATGTCCTACGTTTTCAGAGCTGCCCTACAGTGTCTAAAGGAAAATCATGTATCCCTCTATAACTAACAAATGTTCTATAGTTTTAGGAACCGCGGAACGAAAATTTTAATTATGCCCTTTAGATTACTAATTGAAGCCATGAGTCATTCGCCCATTGCGGATAATTCTCTAAAACAATGACAGATTCTGTTCGAAAAGCATTGAAATTTCCAGAACCTTCAACCTTATAGCACGCACTTCCGTTATTTCTGCTCCATTTCTTCATGTACCTAACAAAAATGGCGCATGCCAACATAACAAAATATTAACTACACGAACCATAAAACGGGTTTTGTACCTTTTCTACCGCCATGATCCGCCAAAGACTATGAGACTATGAGTCCCTGGGGAAGTCCCCGTTTAGGTATACTGTTTAACGTCATATTCAGTTCTCACGCAATTTGTAACAATTCAAGCCAGGATATATTCTCATGCTTGGGTGGTGAGTTATTTTTCTGCAGTGTCAAATAAAGCAACTTCAGAAATTGCGTTTTCTTAGCTTTGCAACAAACCTCAAACCTCATGCTTGACAATGGAAAGAAAAATGACGAAAACTATATGTTACAGTGGTATATGTGAAGTGTGCAACCTAACCAACCAAGTTGCATATGAATCATGTTGTGGTTAGGAGTCTAGGTTATTCCTGAAAACAGCGTCATGTTTCGGCCTTTTAGATTAGAACAACTATACCCTAGACTCGGTGTTTTGTGCACTACCCGGAACTAAGCAAGAACAACATTGTCTTTGTGCTTTGTCGTTTGTAGACGGTTGGAGAATAATCGGATCCAGACTTTAAGTGACGGTGTGTTCTCTGGTCTAACAAACCTCCAAACACTGTAAGTATTATCAACTGCACCACTGAACGCAGAGAACAGTAATTATAACTGTGTGTATATAGAGTACTGCTGGATACGTGATGAACAAACCTCGATTATCTGTGAGTATTATTATCTGCTGCACTGATTGAAGGAAACAGTTGTAGACGCTGTGTTAAAATGCTTTGTTATGAAGCCTCTGATTCGCGTTATTGTCAGGAACGAAATGACCACACGTCACGAGGACAACTACTTTTTCTTAACTGTATATGTGGGAAAAGAATTCAGGTGGACACACCCATTCCCATACCGCTGCACATCACATCCGAACCAGTTCCGTTATTTTTACAACGTTTCGGCACTTGGCCATCGTCAGGTAATAACAATGAATACCGTGGAAGCCACACAAGAGCAGTATATATAGGCAGAGTGTAGCGCCAAAAAAGATGCGAATTATGTCACCTAGTATGCAGAAACGGGGGGGGACAGAGAGAGAGAGAGAAAAGGTGCAACTAGCACATCACAGAGGAGAAAGCAGCGCGCATTGTGCTCTGTGAACGGCGTTACACAGAGTGTAGCGCCAAAAAAATAAAATAATGATGCGAGTTATGTCACCTCTAAACAGAGGGGGAGAGAAGGTGCAACTGTGCACATCACGGAGAAGAAGAGCGCGCCGTTGTGCTCTACGAAGTGAGGGTACATGCCAAATAATTATGGTGTTAATTCTAGCACATTACAGGAGGGGAGCACGAAGGCCCATGCGCCATGGCACTATGAGGTTAAACTTCCATGCCGAACTGTTACCACCAGAGACGCAGGCACAGAATGGATTTGATCAGTGCCGGCAATGCATATGTAAACGTGATGGTCGGACTTGTTTGGATTGCAAACCTGGCGTGAGTGAGAAATGTCGGAATCCTCACAACATCTCGTTAATGTTGCCGGAAGGCGATGTGGGTCCTCTGTTTCCAGTGAACCACGTGGTATTGTCCAATGCCGGCGGGGGTGGTAACTCGAACCATACCCATAATGCTGTTTTTCGGATGGCGGCTGCTGATGAGAGTGCACATGTGGGTGATGACCTTTCAACAGTGCCAGGGGCTGTTGTCTCTCGTTGCAGTTCCATGGCTGGACCTTTGCGTGCCAGCGTCCCTGTCGCATTGGTTCCTGACAGTACCGACCTTGATGCTGTCCATGGTGTTTGTGCTGCTTCGTCATGTGCATCAATTGCGCGTGATGGTGGTGCGGTTCATTGTGCTCAGTCATTGTCGGAGTCTTCTCCAGAGAAACATGTTCAGGAGCGACCCTTGTCGACCACAGTAGTACCTGGTGTGGATGCCTGCGGCCATGGGACAGCCCCTCGTGAAACGTTTTGTCTGGGGAATTTGATGGCATCTGAGGCTATGACGGCTCTTTCCACAGCATATGGTAAGTGCGTGCATCTTGCTACGAATGCATTTCAAGTGCCTCGCGGAAATGTTGGCCGAGATTTAAAACAGCTCTATCTACTTATTTCAACTGTTTTGGTGATGCAGGATCATACGCTGACAGCGCGTTGATGGTGGCAGCAGTATTTCAGATGCTGATGCTGCAGGTTCCGCGCAGTATCCTCCTGCTCATGCCAAGCTCCTGGACAGGCGTTTGGACCAGTGGTTTCATGGTCAGATTAATAAATTATTGTTGGAAACAGAGGCTATCCACAATCTCTGAGAGAAGTCCAGTACAAGGGTTCGAGGTCGTCCTGATGATCCTGCATGAAAGTTTGCGGATTGTGTCGCATCTGGGAGGCTATCGGCTCCTCTGCGCTGCCTTGGTGCTGATCGTGGTGGTGGAGTGCACAGCATCAGTGATGAAATTGACGGTGTTCCAGTAATCGGTATATTGAAGCAGAACCATTATGAGGCTGAGCCCGTGTGCGAAGAGGCTCTGATACCGGGACAGCCGCCTCCTCCTCCGCATCCCATCTATTTTGCTTCGCTGGGGCGCCGTGCTATTCGACAGGCAGCGCTAGGCACACAGAGCGCAGCGGGACCCAGCGGTGTGGATGCTGAGGCCTGGCGTCATATGTGCTCCTGTTTCACGGACGCTTCGGTTAGGTTGTGTGATGCGCTTGCTTCTTGTGCCAGGAGAGTGGCCACTGAGCATATTGATGCTGGTGCATTGATAGCGTTCTATGCATGTCGCTTGCTGCCCTTGGACAAGCGGCCCCGTGTCAGACCAATTGGCATCGGCGAGGTTGTTCGTCGCATTGTGGGGAAAGCAATAATTATTGTGTCCATTGTGGGCCCTGCGGTTCAGCAGATTGTTGGCTGCTCCCAGCTGTGCGCCGGTCAGGACTGCGGGGTGGAGGCGGGTATACATGCTATGCAGGAGGCGGTTGCTCGAGACGAGACCGATGGAATTCTGATGGCAGACGCAACAAATGGTTTCAACCGCCTGAATCGCAGCGTCTGCATTCGGAATTTTCAACACCTTTGCCCGCCTCTGGCCACTGTTTTTATTAACACCTACAGGACGCCTGCATGCCTATATGTCGACGGTGATTGCATCTTGTCGGAGGACGGAACAACCCAGGGAGACCCTCTGGCAATGTACATGTATGCCATTGGCATTATGCCTCTCGTGCACAAAGCTGAACAAGCCGGGACTATCCAGTCTTGGTTTGCAGATGATTCCGCAGCGGCGAGTGTGTTGCGTAGGCTCGGTCGTTGGTGGGACATCTTGGCAAGTGATGGCCCAGCTTATGGATATTTCCCAAATACATCAAAATCGATTCTGGTGGTGAAGGAGCGTTGCTATCGTGAGGCATTCGAGCTGTTCAGCGACACCAGTGTCGTCATTACGTGTAATGGAGCTCGGTACCTGGGGGCAGCCATCGGCTCAGCTGACTTCAAGGAGAACTTTGTATCGACTAAGGTCCAGGAGTGGGCTGATGAGCTAACTAGATTGGCTGATTTCGCTCGCTCGCAGCCCTAGGCAGCATATTATGCATATGTCTTGGGCTTGAGAAGTCGCTGGGCTTTCCTATGCCGCGTTCAGTCTATTTCTCCGTCCCAGTTCCAGCCACTGGAGGACGCGATAAGCACGAAGCTTATACCAGCAATGACGGGTCGGCCACCGCCTAGCACGGTATTGAGGGAAGTACTTGCATTGCCCTGTCGTTTAGGTGGCCTGGGCCTGGTCAGCCCAATGACTTTGTGCTCCCAGTATGAGTCGTCTGTCGCCATCACAGCATCTCTCTCCCGGCGTATCGTGGATCGTGTTTCTGATATTTGGAATTCTCTGATTGGCATCCAGCGAGAGAAGGCGAAGAGGAAGAAGGAAGTACGTCATAGCCAGGCGGAGTCGGCACGGCGTATCAGCAATGATGCGTTGGACGCCTTGCGACACACCATTGTCCTCGCCCGTGAACCTGGCACCTCGAGTTGGCTGACTTGCCGTCCATTGAAAAAGTATGGCTTTTCACTGAGCAAAGCTGAGTTCATGGACGGCTTGTGCTTTTGTTATGGTTGGATGCCGCCGAAGTTACCAACTCATTGCTCTTGTGGACGGGACAATGGTTTGACCATGCCTTGTCATGTCTCCTTGGTGGTTTTACCATTATCCGCCATAATGAGATCCGGGATGTGACAGCCTCTCTCCTTCAAGAGGCCTGTCACAATGTCTCCATCGAGCGACTGCTGCAGCCACTCACTGAAGAGAGAATGAGATACAGATCTGCTATTGTGGAGGAGCATGCGCGGCCTGATGTAGCGGTCAGTGGTTTGTGGGGTTGTCGTTTTGAGCGTACTTTACTTGATATACGGGTTTTTAATCCTCATGCACACTTATATCGATCTGCAACACACACCACTGTCTATCGGCGCCATGAAAAAGAAAAGCGACGATGCTATGAAGAGAGAGTGAGAGAGGTGGAGCATGCGACGTTCATGCCTGTTGTGCTGTCGGCAAGTGGTGGCATGGGAAGAGCGGCGACATCACTCTATCGCCGAATCGCGTTATTGAGAGCGGAAAGGAGGAAGGAGCAGTACTATCACGTAATATCTTACGTCAGATGCCGTCTCTCATTTGCCCTGTTGCGATCATGCATCATGTGTTTGCGGGGTTCACGGGGTCTTTTCGTGAGCGATCGGTTCGGCATCCGGAGTCTGCTGAGCTGGTTGCTGCTGAGGCCCAGGTTGCTCGCATGTGAGAATCTATAAATTGCAGCAAATTATTTTTATTTTTAATATTGGACGTGGATATTGAATTAAACTGTACTCAGTGACTCTTTACATTTTACAGGCTACGTAAAATGGCCGAGAGCCCAGAGCCAAGAGCTCAGTCGCACCCTGTAATAATAGGCTACGTAGTATTACTATTATTATTATTATTATTATTATTCTTGAATTGTTTGCAGGCAACCTGCCTACACTCAAGAGAGCACTGCATTTCACACAAATCCATTGGTATCGTTACCAATGGATTTGTGTGAAATGCAGTGCTCTCTTGAGTGCTCTCTTGAGTGTAGGCAGGTTGCCTGCAAACAATTCAAGTATAATGAAGCTGCGTGAAGCGTCCTTCAAAATTTTGATTATTATTATTATTATTATTATTATTGTAAAGCTTTCCTTTTGATTTTGTGTCGTAGTCTTGTGACCTTTCCACAATATTGTGTTAAATTGTTTAAAAAAAAGTAACCCAGAGTCACCCAGGTACCCAGAGTCACCCAGTTACCCAGAGTCACCCAGTTACCCAGAGTCACCCAGGTACCCAGAGTCACCCAGTTACCAAGAGTCACCCAGGTACCCAGAGTCACCCAGTTACCCAGAGTCACCCAGTTACCCAGAGTCACCCAGGTACCCAGAGTCACCCAGTTACCCAGAGTCACCCAGTTACCAAGAGTCACCCAGTTACCCAGAGTCACCCAGACTCCACCAGTTACCCAGTCACCCAGTTGCCCAGTTACCCAGTTGCCCAGTTACGCAGTTGCCCAGTTACCCAGTCACCCAGTTACCCAGTTACCCAGAGTCACCCAGAGT